TAACCACCCTTTAAGATAGTCCAGCACTGCTTCCTGACCAGTTATTAGCTACATCTACAACCTGTGCTGAACTTTTTCATAAAATCACTTTTTATGATGAAATCAGGCTTGAATTTTCACAGTACCTATTACATGGTAACACCTTTATACCTCTTGACCCTCTGCAGCTATTGCAGAAGAAAGAAGTCACATGGCAGCAGCTTCCTCCAAACTTCTTATTCACCATCCATTCCTAGGGTGCTACTATATAGTAACTTTATATACTAGAAGTTAACTCCAATACTAAACAAAAAGTTTACTCATGCTCCTTCCATGGAGGTGTGTGGCCTTTTTTCCTTTTAAAATTCAATGCCCTCAATGAATTTAATTTTTTATGCATATGTTCTTCCCAGAGAAGACATCCAACTCCCTCCTCCCCAACAAATGGTTTTCATTTCACTTTGTGCAGCAGAACCAGTCTATGAGTTGATCCCATTTGCTTTTCCTTAAAGCAATGAGGTTTCAAGTCTTCTGTTACAGGAACTTTTCAAATGCTGAAGTAATCAAGAAAGCTCCACTCTTTCTGCAGACCTCACACTTCAGTGCCACTTCCCCACAAGGTCAAACTAGTGCCCAAATCATATCTTACTGCACAAAGTCTCACTGTGCAGAATTTCTCCCTCAAATACTGATTTATTGAGTTATATAGCCTACACTAGCACAGCACATGGTGACAGAGAAAGGAAAGACCAGAATATCAATTAAAAAGGCCAATACAGTTTTATGAGTTTTTCCAACAAGTTCTGAAGTTAAAACAAACATTCCATTACAGTACAGAATTACCTGCTCCACAATGGATGCCAGCCTCCCAAGAGCCAAGCCACATTCATCTCCTCGAGTCACAACAGCACTGCCCAGCTTCACTACAATCCGCTTGGCATGTTTCAGCTCACTGCGGTGGGCAAATGATTTGCCATGTGCTCGGCTGAGTGGCATGGTGATAAATGGGATGTTGCTCCAACAACGGATGGATTCATTTCTTGATCTCAGGGTATGGCGAGGGAGATCTATCATTAAAGAAAAAAAAAAAAGGAAATATACAAGAGAAACTTGCTTAAAGAACTTTAAACACTTCATTCTGACCTCCGAGACATTTACAAGCCACAAAACATTTCCTCCCTTCCCATGGCTGAAGCTCACAATACATATTTCTACTCTGCAGTGACCAGGAATGAGAATTCAGCTTTCAAATCACTGGAAAAAAAAGGAAGAATGAAAAAAAAAAATCTGAACACTGGTAACCATCCCTGAGGCATAGAAGACAATATCCCACGACACTGAGTTTGAGACTTTAGAAGATCAAACTGAAGGGCACTTTAAAAGAGCCCATACAGATTACTTGAGAAGACCACTAGCTTTAAAAAACACTCCCCCCTTTGCCTCACTGGGTACAGCTAGAGACTTCTCCCGACAGCAATGCTGCACAGGCACTTGACTGCTAGAAGGAAGGAAAATTAAAAAAAAATACAAGAGTAGAGCTCTTAAAGATGTATTACAGTCAGATATTTTCTCACACTACTCAACAGAATAAGCAGAAGGCAGAGACGGATGATCAACACATGAACTGATAGTTGCCTTCCTACAGAGTAAGTAGGAGCTGGAGCACAGACAGTCTCAGTGCTGCTCAGCAGAGATACGAGGTGTGCCAGGCTGGTACTGTACTTAAAACACTGCAGAGGCAGTGTCTGTGCAAATTCTTGGATTCAAAAGCCTGCAAAGGACAGTGGAGACAAACCAGTCTGCTACCAGCACGGCAGATTAGCCAGTACAGTGACAGTTAAGGAATAGCTGCAACGAAGAGTTTAGATCCATTCCAATTACCAAGGAGGCTGGATCAAACACATAAAAGTCCCACAATTAAGTTGAAGGTATGAAGGAAGTTGGGAAACACTTTTAATATACTTTGGAAAGAAATTTGGAGAGATACAATGAATTGAATCTGAAGAATGAATTATGCTGGTAAGATTATTCGCAACTGAAAACACGTCTAACAACATTAGGATGCAACAGAACAAACTATATTACTCTGAAAAAAAAAGGGGGGGGGGGGTCCATCTAGTTCTTTTCATGTTACTCCTCAGAATCTATGCTAAGCCAGGTCAAATTCTGGACAGTCTCAAAAATAGCATTACTAGAAGAAAGAGAACAGTTCTGAAGTTATTAACAAGATGCCTATGACACTACAGTCCAGAACCAAAAGCACATCCTAATCAAAGGACAACACCAATATAATCCTGACCAGTATCATATCTGAAGATACAGAGACTCCTTTACAAACCAGTGAACTGAATCATATGCCCCGGTGTTCTGTAACATAAAATTGATACATTCATAAGTTAAATGAGTACTCTGTAGGTTGCTTCAGCAGAAGTAAGAGAAGAATGAACACATAGATACAAAAAAAGGGAAGACAGGGATTTATTTCTGTAAAACATGATTAAATCTGTTTCCTTCACTAAACACAGAAAAACCTTAACTGATTAATCATAAGTGAGGACTACATTAAGATGTCACAGCTTTATATGAAGTAAAAATGTAATATGGAGATTAGTTTTATTTGCCCCCTGTTTTCATGAGGTAATACTTGTGAATACAGGATGATCTATAATAAAAAGGAAAGAATACACTTAGAATGAACAGTTCTTTCCAGTATTAAATGTTATTATGCACCATTTGTCTATCCTGCATAGTATGGCAAGAATGGAGTAAAACAGCTTACGAGTTTTCAATTCCTGCAGCTAGAGCTCTAGGGTTTAGAACGTTTCAAGAAGGCAGCCATTGAAAAACAAACAGTATTTGTGAAAGTAAAATAAAATAAAAGCTTACTTTTTAGAAAAATGAGGAGAAAGGCAACATTTCTGGAATGAATAGATAATTACATTCACCTCCACTAAAGTTAAAACTGCCTACTGCTGTGAAAACGTGTCTTTTTGATTATTTTAGTCTGCACTGAGAAATAAAAAATTAAGCTCCAAGGTTATACATGCAAAATATTTCTGATAGCACAAGTCCAGGACTTTGTTTTACACCGAATTAGGGAGAAACTGACATTGTCATCTGGTCAACTTTTTAGTCAAGTAAATTTCTAAAGATTATAGGTTTTTTTTCCAATAGATTTACTTTGTACTTTGTCAATAGATTTAATTCTTTATTAAAGAAAGGAAAATAACTTAATACAATACAATAAAAATGCAAATGCATGAGACTTTTGGCACTACAGATTTTTTATGCAGTCTGCATATGGACTGTTTCTCAGGAGTGAATATGAAGGATTTTAAAATAGACTTGAACCGTACAGGATCACAACAGAAACAGCAAAACAAAACTGATAATTTTCAAACCAACTCTGGATTGCAACTGCTTGAGTAATCCAAGTTGCTCCAATACTGGCTACTGACCACCGTCAGTTGTTCCAGAGCTGAAGAACAACTTTCACAGTGTTGACTCTCATAGAATTTTACTGACTTTGGAAAATGTATTTTGTTTAGAAACACTTCAAATGTAGAAGTTAACTGGGCTATAACTCAAGAGAAGAAAAAAAAGGAAAAAAGAAAAAAAAAAGTAGTTCAGGACTTAAGATTTCCTTATTTAATAAATCATATATTCACACCAACAAGATAGAACTATTAGATTAACACACAGACCAATGGGAAATGAAATCAAGCTTGTATGCAGTGGTAAACAGATAATATTTTTAATCCCACTGACTCTCCTAGACCAAGATGGAATCTAGCTATCCCTGCATTCTCTATATCAGTCTGCTAATGATACAGAGAGTGAAGGTCTCTCTCAAGATAGGATTTCATAGATTAGGGAATAATAAAACTGTTATATTCTTAACCACTGTCCACAGGACACTCATGTATTTATGCTCAGGTTTCCTGCAAGTAGTATCTTTGCACTTTTGCCTAACCCAAATAAATTTGAGCTTCCCATCTTCCAATATCTGTTTTACTCGAGATACCTGTGGGCTGAAAATGGGAAGATGGGGAAGAGGACATCATCAGATCCTGCTTTCCAGGAATGCATCTGGTTGAAAAACAAAGAACTCTCACAGTAAGAGTTCTTTTACAACAGAATTCTTTTATAAAGATGCACATCAGAATGAGAAATACACCCTCTCATCTATGTATGTACTTGAATAATATTTGCTTATATTATTGAGTTAAGGGAGAAAGTAACAGTAAAAAGGTAGAGTTTCACCTGGAGCTCACTCCAAAGCCTGTAAATTTTTAATCAAGTTAATGAGGAAGTTTTCTTTTCTTCATAAGAAAGAACATAAGGCACAAACTGACCAACATTAGAAACGTGTGCTTTCTCTCATACATACACAAACGGGAAATGGCTGCAACGCCACGTGACGATGACACAAAGTACCATCCAGGGGAACAGGCAAGAGGGCTCAGAGCAGCTCGACACAACATTTTGAGATGCCTTCTGCCAATCAAAGATATCTGCAAGTTAAAAGGGGAAAAAGGAGGGAGAGAGGGAGGGAGAGAGGGAGGAAACTGGTTAAATATCAGTGAACTTACACCTGTAATTTCTCTCCATCCACACACCCTCCTCCATACAAGAACAAAACATGCTACTACCCTCCCCAAAAAAGGAAAAGAAGGACTATGAATGAGTGCAGCTGCAATGAAGAGAAGCCAAAGCTGTCTCCAAACTTTCTCCATAGAGAAGCCTGGAGGAAAACAATATATAGTGAGAAGTTTTAACATCCAAACTTCTCCAGACATTCTACAACAGAACATCTACTACTGCCCTTCTCATAAATCTCAGTTCTACTGCATATAAAACACACACTGGCTCATTTAAAGCATGCAAAACTCTCTTCTCCCAATCACCCACATGTATTGCTCTCTCAAACTCAGTTTTGCAGATGTCAAAAAAGGTTTTTAAGACCTCAGAAACCTCACTTGGCTCAGGAAGTCCCTAAACAAAAAGTGGCTTCAGGCTGGGACAATATCACTGGGAAGCATTTTAAACACTTACTCTGCCTTATCCTTTTGCACAGGCATGCACTTTGAACAACTGCAAGAAGTTGACTATATTACACTGATCCTTTTGCACAACCCACTGAAACTGTTCTTATGTTAAATCTATCTTAAAAGACAGAACTCATCACCATTGTAGCTGTTTCACAAGCATTAGTAAGTTAATTTTCCCTGAACACTATAAAACAGCAAGATATTAAGTTCCAATTTATTTGTCATTACCATTTCCCTTGTAAGCACTCAGGATTCTTGTAACTCTAAATCCACTTGATAAAGTACCCCCATATGAGGGATATACAATCAGCCATTTCCTGTAACAGGTTTAGCTGAGGTGATGCATGCAGTATGACAAAGGAAATAGCAGAGATGAGCAAAAACCGGTGTTCCTGGGCAATGCTTAAACTATGAAGATTCTCTTGCCACCTCACTTTCCCTTTTCACAAAATCTTTTATCATATGCTTTCAATCCACCCCTCTGCAACATTAGAGAGGTCACAGAGGCAACATTGTACAATCTGTGGCATGGAGAAGATACTGAAAAGAGAGAGAAGACAAACTGAGCCCATGGTGACCGTATCGAAAGACTGCCGTTACAAATACGCTGGCAACGACAGCACCTAGCAGTGCTGGCATTCGCACACATGAATGCTCAACACTGCTCCATTACCCTGCATCGCTGCTTTGTTCCTGTGCCTCGCTACAACCCTTACCAATACGCATACCCTGGCATGCAACAAGGTAGCGACCAACAGACAACATCTCTCCTGTTCAGGCTGTAAAGTTACACAGCAGAGCATTTTAACAGCCTAGAACAGGAGGGACACTGTAGGCTAACGTTCTACCTGAAGCTGCTGTCACGACCAATGCCAGGACTTTGAGCAGGCGACAGAGCTTAGCAAGCAACCAAAGCTTTCTTCCTATGACAAGACAAGCTTAAAAGAGCTAGCAAATTGTACCAAAGTACTCCCTGCTTGTGCAGACTACAGCAAACCTTCCTGGCGCTCTCTCTTCCACATACCAGGCATTTCATGCAACTGCCTCTGGGGAACAGAAGGTATTTAAATGCTTTTATTTTACTAATTACATCTTTTATAAGGGAAAAAAAAAAAAACCTACAACTGTAAGTAGAACTCAGAAGTAAGAAACCTTTCCAAAGGAAACTCTACATTAGAGCTGGTTATCATAAAGAAAAAATTCAAACACATTGTATTCACAACATAAATAACTTTGCACAAGTTTTACGGAAGTTTATACATAGAGAGAACAGGCAATTCGAAACAACATATCATACAATTACTTTTCTACCAAGAATCTATTCCAGTAAGATGCTGGATCACAGCAATCTGCAATGTAAGACACATGCAGCTATGGAAATATGTGCCATTGATTTCCTAGAAGGACTGTTCTAATCCTATCTTCATATCTCAAACCAAAAATAACATCTGTAGAAGCTCAGGACTGTTCCATTTTGTTATGCTCAGCACATAAACAGGTTAAGCAACATACGCAGGGCTGTACAAGAACAGCACTGGAGACAGGACTAGGAGCTCCAGCTGCCTCCCCCCATCCTGCAGGGCAGGCGCTGAGGAAAGAAGCGATTCACCCCATAGCAGGCAGCAAAGCCCACTCGTGCACAGGAAGTTTAACTTAGCAATACAAATCTCACAGAAATTACTTGTTGCAGTTATCACCTACAGGTGTCACTCCTGGCCTGAACATTTAGACGTGCCTGAATCTCTATACCTGATTCCTCCTGTTAAAGCCGTGACAAAAGTGTGCTGATAGAAGCTGCAACTGCAGGGACGCAGGAGGTGGCACAGGACCAGCTCAGGCAGCAGCTGATCCACAGCAGCCAATCCAGATGTTCTCCTGCACAAGCCACATCAGCTCCCACAGGGCAGGCTGAACACCAGCCCACTGGCTGATGTAACCTCCGCCACCCCGACTCCACGTCGTCCCTCCCTCCGGCACGCACACCTTCCACCCTGCTGCCCCAGCAGATGATGTAACTCTACTCCACGTTGCAGCACAAAATCCATGGTTTTACAGTTACAGCATTAACAGCTGTTTTCTGTCTAGTTCCAGGCTAGTCGAGACAGCTGACCCACCTCCCACATCCAGTTTTCCTTGACCTTGATTCTCCCTATTTTCCAATGTCTGAAATCCAATGTGAATAGGAAATGAAGCCCAACAGCCCAACTTTTGAGACCAGCTTTACCTCCTCAAGTTCTTTACTTCTCCTATTCTCCACTGTACCCTAGACCTCCTCACTGGCTTTGCTCTTCATCAATTTCCCATTCACATTCAATTCTAAATTAGGAGACAAAACAGCCTTATAGCTCCACTAGTAAAAGCCACAAATACTGCAATTTCTCATCTTCAAAGATACTACAGTTCCCTGTTTAACTGAGGAAAGAGAGTTTCCTATCTATTCCATGCTGTTACATTCCCATTTGCTTACTGTAATTCAAACAAATTCCAGCTTTACTGATTCTCGTGGTTTTAAAGGTCTATATTTGGTCCTTTTCAAAAAAGGAATCTTTAAAGTTTTACCTTTTAGGATCAAAAACCATAATAATCTCACAAGGTCTCAAGACTGCAGAAAAAAAAATAATGGAGAGTGAACAGTAATTGAGTGATGATAAGGGTAGGGGTGGGGAAAAATGATTGAAAAAGCTCAAAAATAAGAATTTATAGAGAACCTAACTCACAAGTATTGAATATTAGGAAATGCTACACTGGATTTCATGACGTCCTCCTGACAGAAAACAAAACAACCCTCAAAAGCCCCAAATAAATACAAAGATACTCCTTTGTTAAAAGACTCCCTGCAGACCACCACATGATCAGGTACAGCGATTGTTTTTATTCTTGTAGCACACATGGGTCCTGCTTACTACCCTGTTCTACCTCTCCAATTTAATTATCAGCAAAAATAAAGAACCCTGCTGGGTATGAATGAGGAGAGAGGAGGAAAAGGGAGGGGAGGGGGAAGGGCAGGGAAAGGGGGAAAAGACAAAAAAAAAAAATCCAGCTCCAGAACTCCAGGAAGGCAAAACAGTGAGTAGAGAGGTGAATGAGCACAATAGCTGATTTTCTGATAAGCCTTTGTTTTGATTTTCAAAAAGGTAGGAAAAATGGGAAATCCTCCTATTTTAGACTTACCTGGATAATTTTTAATATCTGCAAGTCCTTTCAACTGTGTTTCCAAACAAAAACTAGCAGGTTCCCCTCAACCCATGCTGGTGAGAGATTGATTTCTTCTGATGCTGAGGTAGAAGTATCAGTAAGAAACATTGAAGAGAAGCTAAAAATCAAAATGCTTTCATTTTCCCCCTGAAACTAATAGCTCTTATGAAAGCTTGTTACCTGCAAGGAATCCTAGATTTTCTACTTGCTTAGCAGTGCACTACTACAGTGCACAGCAAGTGTAACAGAAAATCAGAAATGAAAAAGTATGGTTTCAGGCAGTTCAGGGCAGAGAATACCCTGAGCAATCTTAGACAAAATATAATTTCCTAGAAAGAGCACAGAAACCACCAGGCTATTTTAACACTCTGAACTGGCAGGCAGACTTGCTATAGTCTACCTTCAGGCCTAGACACTGTGACACTCCACTTACAAGGTCTCACTGTGTAACCTCTTCAACAAGTGCCTTCTGGCCATTACTAAGCCAGTAAATCACAATTTTCTGTGGGAGGAGGTTGGGCGAAATTCACTGACTAGAATCTATTTCCAGGTCCTCGTCCTGTCACTTCTCAAAGGCAGGACATGACTCAAGGCAGCATTTATCATCAGCTCGGCCTTGGACAGGCTAAGTGAGTACTAAGTTCAGCACTCTCTCCATTATCCTATTTTTGATCTATTTGCCTTTACCAACCTCCTTTTTTTTTTTTTTTTTTTTAACATGTCAGACCTCTGTCCCTCACAATGATGCATCCCCCTCTTCTCTTATGGTTGGAGAGAATCAAGAAAGCATTTGGCTTTTACAAAAAATAAGCTGGTATTGCATCCTGATAGGAGGGGAAGGAAAACAGTAATCAGCAGTTGCCTAGATAAAATACACAGGCAGGACAAAGAAACAGTTAACATTTCTTCAATAGTCTCTAGTTCTCCAGCCTTGTGCATGGGCTGGGGCTATTCACCTTCTCCACTCCCCTCCCAATTTTATACTGTAACAGACCCTCTCTCATTCCTCCTTCCCACAAGTGCCCACAGACATGTCTGGCACCAGAATTGCTAGTGTTGTCATCCTTCCTCATCCAGACTGAAGCTCCCATCTCCCTCCTAATGCTCAGCTGTTTCACTACATTGTTCTACTAAAGGATCTGGTAATTCATCTGACTAATCTCATGAGAACTCATGTCAGCAAGAGAGAAGCACAGCAACATGTAAAACTTCACTGTCACTAATAAAGCAGTTCAGGATGCCCCTACCCTTACTTTCTCCTCATA